ACACGTGGTCTGAAATGGGAAATCATTACACTCAAGGTAGAAAGAGTGAATTCAACATTTTCCATACATCGGTTCACTGCTCAAACACAAAGCATTCAGTCGAGGTTGCAAGGTTCGAATTGGAATTATCCTTTGAAAGTACCTTGGCGCCTCTCTTGAGCGCTTTGTGTTTGGCCAGTGTACCAATGTATGGAAAATAGTGAATCTAATCGTCTGTGTGTGAGTTAAGGATCAAAATCTTCCTTGTTGATTGGAATAACTTTGTGCGTTTCCTCCGTTATTACCAAACATAAACTGAAGCTGTTGCGGCTGGTTGGTCTGATTCTGGAAGGCATACGACTGTTGCTGTTGTTGTTGTTGCTGCTGCTGCTGTTGTTGCTGCTGCTGCTGTTTTTGCTGTTGTTGTTTCTAGCAAATCAATAACAATGCAGATTATTAGTTAATAATCTTCAAAACATTTCCTTTATATTTGTGTATAATCAAAATGATTATAATATTTGAGTATAGTTATTGTTTATTTTATTCTGACATTATATTTCTTTAGTATAAATGTTAAAACAGTTTTGTAGCTACAGTATCTGGCCAATATTGCCTTTTTTAATTGTAACCTTTATTTCTTGACAATGTGTAGCTGCAGAAATTATCCATACCCACCCCACAGAGGAATTTAGAATTTGCAAAGGTTAAGGGGTCAGAGAAAGAATGAAAATTACAGAGTTTGTATGAAAAAAATTTGGAATTTCTGGGGAGAGGGGGGTCCGAAAAAAATTCTTCCGTGGGTGGGGGAGGCGGAGGGGGAGGAGGTGGGATAATCTCTGGAATTGTCAAGACATAGTTACAAAAAACATATTGGCTTCATTATTTTAAAAATTAAATGTTAATCTTGTGCAAAAGGTTTTGCAATTCCTGTTAATATATAATATATCATACTGTATAATACATGGCATGAAGTAACTCTGAGCTTGAAAACAGATTTTATCGGAATGTCAAATCATTAAACATTATCCTTTTTCCAAGGGACTCTCAAGAGAGCACATTGGAAGTGGGTTTGAGGACTTTGTATGTGCATTAGGGTTTGGGGGACCTTTTATTTATATATGGAATTCGAACTAACACAAAATAAGATATCAGTCTCGTAAAATGTGTGGGGGCTAAAGCAAGCAGCCCCCCTCAAGCGGCCTCTCTGCCCTCCACTCTGACGTCACTGGTGTTTCTCAGTGTCATAGTTAACAAAACCCGTGACAAAGAACTAGGAGTAATGCCTCTAGAACCAAAGGTAATTATTAAAACATAGACGTTAAGATCAAAAGATGTATTAAGAAAATAAATCTATTATAGTAATATTATATAATTATAATTATGCTGAGGAAATAACAGGCTGCAACAACTGTTCAAAATTCAAAATATTAAAACAAAATATGTTATTGTAACTTTAGTGATGTCTCACTCTGATTAAAAAGGTTTTTAAGACCTAATTTGTTTTAGGATTTAAGAGTTTATGTTAACGTTTTATTATATTAGTTTGTTGAAAGTTTCACCAACTAGTATAGGCCACCAGCCAAAGCCCGAAAATCAGGGCAATAAGCCCCAAAATCTGGGCAGGAAGCCTTTAAATTAGGGCTGTTAGCCGCCTCTTTAGAACCTAAACCCAGTGTTTACTTGTGTATGCACAACAACAGCAATAAATAACTAGGCTAGCCAAAGCCCCAACATCAGGGCAGTAAGCCCCAAAATCAGAGCAGTCAGCCCCAAAATCAGGGCAGTCAGCCCCAAAATCAGGGCAGAAAGCCCCAACATCAGGGCAGGAAGCCCCAACATCAGGGCAGAAAGCCCCAAAATTATGATCGATCCAAGCACAACAACAGCAATTACCAACTACGCCAGCCAGGCACACTGGCTGACAGACATGGACAGACACACAGTTAACCTAGGTACGGCAGACACTAGGATTACCTGGAACTGGTCTGGTTGATGGACTGACAGTCCACGCATGCGTTTGGAGTTGGGTTGGCCATTGGTGTCTGAGTTATCTTGCTTCCCTTGATTATTCTGGGAGAACCAGACCCCAAAGACATGTAAGCCGTACAAATAGTATTGGCCTTGAGTATGATCATTATGTTACTGAGTGTGATAGAGTGAAAAAAATAAAACCGTGAAACTTTAGTAATACTAAATAGCACAATTTCATGCAAATTCCATTGTTTTCTATTGTTTAATTAACACTATTTTGTACTATTTAGTAATTAGTGTTTCACGGATTAATTGTTTGCACTCTATCATAGGAGGCATTATTAATTACGTATTAATAACACAAAGATTTTCTGGGGCAGTAAAACATCCCGTAAAAAAAACATTCTTTACCCAGGGTTTAAAGAAAGGTTATAATTGCAAATCTATTTACTCATAGGTACATGTTAATTACATCAGAGTTTCAATTTACAAATGATGACAAATAAACTCAAATGCTCCCTATGACATCACACTCATTAGCACGTTGGAAGTGTAAACCTTGATATCTTCAAGATGCATCACTCAAATCATATATTAAAACATGCGGTCTGAAATGGGAAAACATTGTATGCCCAAGGTAAAGAGGTCTAATTCTCTCTCTCCAATTGAAAGTATGTCTGATATCTTCACATTTTCAGATGTTAGAGCAAATGATGATGCCATTTCTGAGCAAATTAACTTTTATGAAAAGAAATCTCGGGAATGAATGTTTCCAACTCTTTACCATGATAGCGCACATAGATCCCTTGCATTGATTTCCTAGAGAAATTGTTCTGTGGAACAAAACAATAATCCATCTTTTCTTATACAAACAAAACAAAAAAAACATATCGTACCCCAAAACAATTCCTCTAAGGACTCAGTGCAAGGGGTGTATACTATCAAAATGTAATTAGAAAAAATTGCCATCATAAAATTGCCCTTTTGAGTAAAAATATGCAATATCTTTTTTTTTTACTGCCTTTGTTTTGCTATTTTGTTCCCCTATGGTACTGTCGTACTTCTGAATCAGTGGTTCTTACCATTTACCTGGATAAACTGGAAATTGAGGTTGGAAAAAAAATGATATGTCGAGTCATTTCAATCAGAAAGTTCCTGAAAACTTTGTCTTTTGATTGTGGTAATCCACTTTTCCTGCTCTTTCCAGTTCTTCTGGTATACAGCTGTACCATTTGTCAGAAGTACAATTTTCCCACTCTTTTCTTACCATCTCAGTAGCAAACTAAATTTCAAACTGGATTGATTGGTTTAAATGGTAAGCCACCTGGTCTTCGAATACTGTATGAGCATTTTTTTCTTTTTTACTATTTCAGACCATTAATAGTTAATGTGCACGAGCACAATTCTCTAGCACAAAACATGATGGGAAACTGAGTACAACACACATCAGTACTCGGAAATCAATAGAATTATCAGAAAAAAATACTCTGTTATTTTTTTTCTGTTGAAATAATTTCAGTTTCATAGAAAATGTTGAAGAAAAAATTGTCAGAGGAATTTTTAAAGGAGCTAAAAAATCTTAAGTACTTGGTTTCTCATCATGTTTGTGCTAGAGATTCCTTCTCATGCACATTGGCTATTGTTATTATACTTATATCCTTATATTTAACAACCACCACTCCCCATGCGGGGCTCTTCCGTGAGGTTCACTCCACACGCACTACCACTACATTCTATATTTACAAAATACAACACTCAACTCACATGTTGATTTTTACGGAAGGAGGAAACTGGAGATCCCGGAGAAAACCCTCGTGGCAAGGGAGACAACAACACAACAAACAAACTCAACTCACATATGATCCAGTCTGAGCCGGGGCTCGAACCCGGACCACAGTGGTGAGAGGCGAGAGGTAAACCGCTACGCCAACCATGCCACCATGCCACTTGGTAATTATAAGATTATTTCATTGATTCACATCCACATTTATTTATTTATGAAATATGATTTATTTTCTGGTGAACATTACTTCCTTGGAAACAAAGAAAATGCTACTCAAGGGAATAATGACACATATTAGTCTGAAATGGGAAAACATTAGGCCCAAACTGAAAAGATCTAGGATATTACTGTATTATTTTCATAAAGCAAATTTTTCTCAAAAAAAAGAGAAAAACTCCAGGCAGAATTCTTTTCTAAGAACAATTTGCTTTATGAAAATAATACAGTTCACATCTTTAATAAGTTTCCAAGCAACAAAACACCTTAATATATTCTATAATATTATCAAATAAACACAGAATGGTTCAGGAATTAGAAGTACAATCTTCTTGATATTATATATATTTCATCAGGGATGAGATCTGGACCATATAAAAAATCATGTTTGAATGGTTTGAACTTAAGATCTCTTGAGTCCTTATCAGGGTCTCTCTTCACTGTGCTACACTGGGAATTCATTGGTTTACAAGAGACTTGTGAATGAGACTTGCAGATGATATATGATTGCATTTTTATTTATATCTGCATTTGTTATAATTATATGCCATTATTTTATTTGCAAACGCCTGCACAAAATGCCTTTTATCCTGTGGTACTTACTCTTTTTACATGACTGTGATATTTTAAAATCATTCTAAAATCATGTGATATTGATGTAAAACCATTAATTTATCATGGAATGCATTGCAGATGGTGGATCACTTAATACATACATATATTAACTATATTAAGCAATGTTATTAATGTTATTATTAACAATTATGGCTGCAAATTAGCCATTGAGTTATTTTAAAATTATAATTCTTAACATTGTATTGTTTATTTCACGTCATGCATGGATATGAAGATATAACATTTCTTATTTGCATACGATGATACAACATAACATTGAATAATGCAGTAGACTATGGGATACCCAGTCAACTGAATAGGTTACTAGGGTTACAGCTTCTTACATGCATGTAATCTAGTCAGACAGTCAAGGAAAGTAATTCAAATTTATAGGACCCTGAAACAACCTCTGGGCTGATCTAAGTCAGGGCA